TTTCTGACAAACGTGTTATTTTGAGTTGTGACTCTTTTGAAGACGGTGTGCGATATGGTCCAGGGGTCTTGATTTAAAGGCGGTCAAAAAATAGTAAGATTTATGGCTAACAGAGCGTAATTTGCCAAAGAACGTAAAACCACTATAAAATGGTTAAAGCTGCCGGCGGTAGTGTAGCAAAACTAGTTGTGGCAAATTTTAGATATCAACCTAGTCTAGATATGAACCTCGTTGTAGGCACCATATCAAGGAGATACAATTAGAAGACTCCAGATGTCGCCCCGCCAGAAGAAGTTAAATATTGCGCCCAAATATATGCACCATTGACATACGCTACAGCGGAAATGGGCGACCAGCCGTTTTATAAATGGACTAAAAATTAGAAAATAAAATAATGTAAAAAAAAAAATATTTTTTAAAAATAAGCTTTAATTTAACATGTACAATCAAAGGAATAAAATAAAGTAGTGTAACAAAAGACTTTTTAGCAAGAAAATTTTGTCAAAACTGCACTAAAATTAATAAAATAAAATGAGTTAAGGTCTCGTTAAAGTTACTAAAAGCCATTTAGTGAAAGGGGTTATTCAAACTCTAATGAAAATTACTAACAATTTGTACTAATTTACTTCGTTTTTAAAAAAGCTTGTCGGCGAATTCAGCGTACATGCATAATTGGTAAGGTATGTATATGTATGCATGCAGATATTTAAATGCCGGTTGGCTATTCGCGCGACAAACTTTTTTAAAAACGAAGTACATTAGTACAAATTGTTAGTAGTTTTCATTAGAGTTTGAATAACTCCTTTCACTAATGGCTTTTACGAGACCTTAACTTATTTTATTTAATTCATTTTAGTGCAGTTTTGACAAAATTTTCTTGCTAAAAAATCTTTTGTTACACCACTTTATTTTATTCCTTTGATTGTACATGTTAAATAAAAGCTTGTTTTAAAAAAAAAAAATGTTTACATTATTTTATTTAGTTGACCATTGACCTCGGAATTCACGATAGGGAATTTATTTTAGAAGTATCAAACAGTTTGGCTCTTTGTAGCCATATTTGCAGTTTAAAATACTATAAATAAATATATTCTTTTGTTGAAATTTGACCTCGGAGT